CTCCTCAGGGTACCGGGCTCTCGGCGGGCTCGGCCACGTCCTCCTCAGGGTACCGGGCTCTCGGCGGGCTCGGCCAGTCCTCCTCCGGACACCGGGCTCTCGGCGGGCTCGGCCAGTCCTCCTCCGGACACCGGGCTCTCGGCGGGCTCAGGTCCGCGGGAGCTCGGGCACCAGCGTCTGTCCTCTCCCGCTGCCGGCCAGCTACTGAGCGCTGTGGCCTGGCCTTTATACTTCCTGTCCCGCCCCTTGACTTCCGGGGGGTGGGGACAGGCCGCGGTGGCTCCGCCCACTCTGGCGGCTGTTCTGGCTCATCGCCTCCAGGGGCGCCTGGGAGCCAGGCCGCCCCGCTACACCTTCACTCACCTGCTTTTTGTATTTTTGAACCCCCAGGTTGTAATGAAATGGAAGTGGCTGCAATTGCAGAGGAATCGGTTCAGTTACAGCCAGTGAAATTACCGGAGCCTGGGACAGGAATCACCTGGAAGGTCACACTAGACTCAGCAGAGACGTATCGGATTGTAACATTTAATGAAGGGGAACCCCCTGACCATGGGGCAGCCCCACATTTTATCAACAGAGTCACTTTCCACCCTGAGAATCTCTCACTGCAGATTGATCCCGTTAAGAAGTCAGACAGTGGCCTCTATACCTTGCTAATTGACATTGGAGGAGGCCGTGAAGACATCACAAAGTTCCGTGTCTCTGTGTTTGGTGAGTAGCAAAGATCACGTTTTTCCCTAGTGTGTGTCACTGACGGCAGCCGCCTTCCTCAGCATCTCTCACCAGGATCTCTCCTTTCAGAGCGAGTCCGGCAGCCAAACCTCACGGTGCTCTCTGCCCACGCGGAGCTCGGCCAGTGCAACGTCACCCTGTCCTGCTCCGTGCCTGGCGCTGACAGAGTCACCTACGACTGGTCCCGAGGCACGTCCCGGATACCGTCTGACCGGGACCATCAGCTCCCTGGGCACCAATCCCTGCTGCACGTAGTGATTAATGCAGACAGCAGTGACGTCTTCTACCGATGTAACGCCAGTAACCGAGCCAGCTGGGACGCAGACACTGTAGATGTCAAATCATTGTGCGACTCCCCAGCCACAGGTAAATATTCCTCAGTATAAGCAACATCAGAGCCTGATTGTCATTAACACTGGGACCACTTTGTTCTCCTCTAGCAGCATAAGAGGGCCTTACAGTGGCAGTCCGTTCTGTGTCCACTTGTTATGTTCACCTCTACCCCAATATAACGCTGTCCTCGGGAGCCAAAAAGTCTTACCGCGTTACAGGTGAAACCGCGTTATATCGAACTTGCTTTGATCCGCCGGAGTGTGCAGCCCCCCCACCCCCCACCCCGGAGCACTGCTCTGTGTTATATCCAAATTCGTGTTATATCGGGTTGCGTTATATCGGGATAGAGGTGTATTTAATAATATATTTGTCAGTCATATTTTTGCCTGAGTAAAAGTAGGAGGAAGAGGCTCTGGATTCAGCCTGTAAATTTCTGCATTCGTCAGAGCTAGAATTTACCCCAGGGTCTGACACAGCCCCTGATGGGGTCTCCTGCTTCCAGTGAGATCCTCTGTTTCAACCGAGGAAACTTACGATTCCTTCTCAGCTCCCAGCTCAGGCTCAGAGGAAGGCTGGTTCAGTGGTTAGCGTCCTGGGCTTTGGGAGACCTGCGTTGGCTTCCCTGCTCTTACTCGCTATGTTCTCCTGGGCAAGTCCCTGGGGCCCAGATTCTCAAAGCTATTTAGGCTGCTAACTCCCATGGGATGTGGGGAATCTAAATACCTTTGCGGGTCTGGGCCTTAATCTCTCAGTGCCTCTGTTCCCTATGTAAGCGGGGGAATGGTCCCGCTATTTTGGGGAACTTTCCTGGCTTCTGCACTACCCCGGTGAAGTGGGCTAACGAAAGGATCCGAGTCCTCGCTCCCACTTCCTTTACCCAGAGGCCTCCCTGCCCTTGAGGGCTCCCCTTCCACTCTCCTGTCTGGCAGAGTCCTCGTAAACCCCGACAAGGCTGGGCCCAGGATTCCTGGGGGGCTTGACCCCCAACCCTAGTGTGGTCACCCAGGACAGGGGCTAGGGTGTCCCCACTCCGGGGTACTCTCTCTGCACTGGGCACCTCCCTGACCCACTGATCATTTCATACAATTTAAAGCAAATACAAGCTGTTTAATTAACAATTAATTTTAAAAAAGAATAAGGAAAAATGGGAAAGGTTAAAGGAAAACACATCACCCTGCTCTGTGGCCGGGAACATCACAACCAGTGTCTCTGGAATGTCAGGGCAGTTCAGTCTGTTCCTTGTAGGTCCCAGGCTCCTTCTCAGGCCCTGGCCGTGCTGCAGAGACGCTGCGGGTTGGACACTTGCTCGGGCGGTGGCCACACGCTCTCAAGCTCTAGGTGGCAGGACCCTTCTTCCCAGCATCGCCCCTGCCCGGTCGGGGTTACGATCCCCCCCCAAGTCTGGCCTGCAGAACCTCTTGGCTGAGGCGTCTCCCTGTGCTGGGCCCACTGCCCAGGGTCCCCCTCCTCTCCCCAGCTGCTCCCCGCACCCGGCTCCAGCTCCAGCCCCAGCCCCAGCTCCCAGCTCCAGCTCCACTCGGCCTCAGCCCGGCTGCTGCTGCTGCTCTGCCCCCAGCTCCCTGGGCTGCGTCTCTGGCCCCTCTGGCTCCGGTTGCTGCAGCTCTGCCCCCAGGGCAGCTCTGCTCTCTCTGGGCCGTGCTCTGGCTTTGGGGCTGCAGCTCTGCTCCCAGCTCAGCTCGGGCCCCTGCTCTCTCCTTAGCTCAGCCCCACTCTGTCTGACCCAGGCCATTCCAGCTCCCACGGAGAACAGGACCTCCTGACTCCCTGATTAGCTGCCCGCCCTGTCAATCAGGCTGATCTGGAGCATTGGCCTCTCCCCATTGTTCCTGGGGACTGTCAGTCTCACACTCCTGATTTCCCATTGACCCTCCCCTTTTAGTGCTGGGAGCTAGCAACCAAAACACCCCCCTGAGTGTTAGTAAGGGGGCAACAGTCCCCTTACACCTAGCTGTAAAATGGAGAGAGTGGGGGTTGTTTTTCCATGGCCATGGGGCCTGGGAGCCCCCGTCTGGATCAAGAGCCCTCGGTGCTAGGTGCTGTACAGACCCAGGACAAGTGACACCGTCCCGGGGGTGCTGGGAGGATGGAGACATTGAAGACAGTGAGGTGAGGATACCACAGAGATGGGGCCAGAGAACTCTGGCTAGGGCTGCAGTTTTCTCGCGGCAGGGTATCGACACATCACCACGCAGTCAGGGTCAGTTTAGTACAAATCACGGGTTTGGAGGAAATGGTGAGTAAGGTCTCCCCATCCCACCCCAAATTCAGAGGGGGTCCCCCAAAATCAGAGACCCGGCATCTTTGTCCTTCCCTTCCTCCTTCGCAGGTCCCTCTTCCTCACCCCACCGAGGGGGCCCAGACCCCCCTGCAGGAGCACCGTCTGGCTGGGGGGATGGGAGAGTGAGCCTGCCCCACACGCACCCCACAGAGGCAGCTCCTGTCCTGTGGGGCTGGGCCCAGCTTCCTGTTCTGGGCCTTGCAACCCTGTGTTCTGGGTCATGCTGCCACTGGCTCAGATTGGGTCTGGCCGCCCCCTGTCATGACAGCTGAGCTGTGAGCCCAGGCACCAGGTTCTTTTAATATAGAAACTGTCCACCTGGAAAGCGTTCAGGAAAGAGCTACAAGAATTTGAGGTCTGGGAAATGCACTTTACAAGGAGAGACTTTAGAAGCTCAATCTATTTAGTTTAAGAGAAGGTTGACAGGCGACTGGATCTTAGCCTACAAGTCTCAGTGATTTCCGATCGCAGAGGGCTCTTTAATGTAGCTGAAGAGACCACAACGAGATCCAATGGCGGGACGCTGGGGTCATGAAGGAATTTGCCCCCTGGTCAGATTGGCAGAGACCCTGCATTTTTTTTCACTTTCCTCTGCAGCCTGGGGTGCGGGTTCCCAGGCGCTCTGGCCACTTTCCCTGTTGCACTCTGTGGGTGCAGCAACCGCAGAGCGTCACCAATCGCTCCCCACATGAACTAACCTGTCACGTTTCTTCCTTCAGGTTTCGCGAGCAGCCCAGCGAGCTATTGCCAGGTGAAGGGGATTCTCCTGCTGGTGGTGCTGGGAGCCCTGGTCACAGCCATCGTCATGGTGCACGTCCTCACCCGGGACAAAGAGAGGCTGGATTGAGCCGAAGGGCCAGTGCAAGGAGCTTTCCTGGCTGCGTGGGGCGACGTCTGCATCTGCAACGGGGTCTTTTCACTCCCCTACTGCGAACGGGAACCGCAGCAGCATAGCTGTCGATGGGCCTGGGTTTGGACCCTTCTCTGCTCCTTTGCCCTGCCGTGCTGGGACTCAGATGGGGAGGGTATCACAGTCCAACCACACACAAGACAGAGGAGCTGCACACACAGCTTTGTCATTGTGTATTTTGACATGCCAGGCTGACACTGTAAATAGCCCTCAATCACATTCTAATATCTTCTGAAGCAGCATTTTTCTTACCTGGCCTAGCTGTAAATTTCAGTCATTATCAATGGAAATGTTTTTCCGTCCGTTTTTTGTGTGTCTGGCGAAATCGACATTGACCGATAAAACTCCAGTCCTTCCAAGTGTGCAGAAACCACCGCCGCTCTTGGATGGGACGAGAGCACTGGGGTAAAATGCGTGTGCACAGGGTTGGCTACAAGGCTGGTGGGTTCTATCATTCCAAGTGTGTTTGTTGTTCAATGGTGAACTGCAAATCCAAAGGGAAAACTGAGGGGAACCCAAGTCTCTGGGCTGGATACCCCACTGCAGCGATGCTGCCTACCCGGTCTGGCTCTGGGCTAGCCGCTGCCTGTGTTTCTTCTCGTCCAGCCTGGCTGGGTTGGAACGTAGTTTGCCCCCCCAGCAAAGCCATTAAAGGAAAAGTCCAGCCCTTCCAGGGGACCCCAGTCCAAACCAAACACAAGAGTCTTCTTCTGCCCCCATCTCAGGCTGGGCCCATCCCCTCCTGCCTGGGGGTCTGTCTCCTCCTCAGCCTTTCCTGGGCTCCTTTGATGCTTCTTCCAAGCTGGGGTCTCTCCAGGCTTCTTTCTTGTCAACACCCCACACCCCAAGGTCTGGTTGAGACACGTGACCTGCCTGACATGGGACTTTTCTCAATTTCTCCACCTGGGGAGGCGAGCTAAGCGGGTCACAGATGGGGCTGGATGGACCATTCTCCACTTAAAGGGCCAGTCACCCGGAAAAAGCCATTCAACTGGCATTTAGACCGGTCAATACACGTCCTAACTCAGTTTTCAGTGGCGTAACGCACACCAGCCGGCCAGTCCTTTTACATCGATGTTCAATGAGGGCCTGACCCAAAGCTCACCGACCTCCATGGAAGACACCCCCTCCCCAGCGACTGCAGGGGCTTTGGATCAGGCCCTAAGGATGTGGATTCAAGCGTCTGCCTCCTGTCTATGCACAGTTATGAATCACCCGCTCGTCTGGGGCCAAATGCGCTGTGACGGTTCAAGGGTCCTAACTAACCACAACCCACCCAGCCTGACCTCCCTGCCTTCCTCTCCGCGCGTGGTTAAGGGCTTCATGCTCGCTAAGCGCTGACGGCCCAGAGATGCAGCAGCCGCCGGTACCAGAGCAGAGGTGTGTGTGGAGTGGAGCTTAGATCTCCTCACTGACCGGGAGTGGGGGGGGAGGGGGGCGCTGGGGAGACACATTTTTACAACAGATCCAGACTTGTGAAAACCAGAATGGAAAGGGGGAGGAGCTAGAGAGTGACAGGGCGAGGGGTGGAGCCAGTCAGAATTGACGGGTCCCGGGGAGAACACAGGGATGGGAGGATGTGGGGATACCAAGGGTGGGCACCACTGGAAAAAGAGGGACAGGGAAGGGATCTTTGGCAGTGGGGGGAGTTATGCAAAGGAGGTGATGCATAGTCAGCAAATATGCACATCAGCATGTTACATCATTTGCATGGAGGCTCTGGTTTCCAGCCCTAGCAGCTCTGGGGTGGACGTCGGCCTGCTGCGCCCTGCCAGCCCGGGGGCTGCTCTGAGCTGGGCTGAGTTGCTAGGTTGGCACCAGCTGCTAATGGCCCCTGCAGCTTCAGACCTGCAGCCGTTGCAGCTTGTGCCGATCGCATCAG